GCCACTGTGTTTTGCAGCGAAGAAGGACGAGAAGGACCTGTGCAGCGGGAAGCCGGCGAACGGCATGGTGGCCCTGCCGAACGGCACCTTGGCCGTCTTCCGAGGTAGGTAGGCTGGTCCCAGCCTTCTCCTCCTCCTGCTCCTCCTTCCCCACCGCCCTCGCCAGCCCCAGCGAGCGGGACGGACCCTTGTTTCCAGCGCCTTTCCGCGTGTGTCCGTCCGTCCGTCGGCCGCTCCACGCGCCTTCCATGGCGTCTCCTCCCTCCACGTAGGTCACTACTACTGGCTGCTGCACGGGGTAGCCCGCCGACCACCAGCCCCCGGCGGATCAGCGAGGGCTGGGGCATCCCGTCCCCCATCGACGCCGTCTTCTCCAGGTGCAACTGCGACGGGAAGACCTTCTTCATCAAGGTGAGGAGCGCTCCCAATCCAACTCTTTCAAACGTGGGATACTCTATCCTTATTCAAAGGCGGTGTGAAAAGACTGCAGAAGGTATTTGATGAAGCTGTAAGATTTTTTTTTTCCCCTGTTTTTAATGGATGGAGGAGTGGTTCCAGTCAGTTTTACAACATAGTTACCAAAAAATTGATGTTATGATTATTTTTCATGTCTGTGCTGAAGCTCAATCACCAAGAATGAATTTTCTCTAAAGCTCGTTTTTTCCTTAAATCATCAGGGTCCCCTGTACTGGCGTTTCACTAACGGTGTGATGGATAAAGGCTATCCCAAACCTCTTGCAAATGGATTTGCAGGACTAAATGGGAAAATAGTAGCAACCCTCCCTGTGGCAAGCTACCACAACAGACCAGAATCTGTTTATTTTATCAAAAAAGGTATGTCTCGTATTTCAGGAGCTCACAGATGATGGAAAGGTGCTTGGGTTGCCTTAGTCAGGAGGAAAACACTGTTTCTCTTGGCTAAAAGATGTTATTTTTTTCAAAAAGAGAAACAGAAGTGACGGTGGTGTCAAAAAACGGCCTGAAGCTCCAAAAATTTTTATTAGTCCTCAGAGATCTTCAAGCACCTTTTGAAATGGACAGGACTGTCAGGGGCAGAATCCATCATCTAAGCGGACAAACATTAAGAGAAGTTTTATCCGGTGGCAAAACTGTTTTAGTCTCGAGTTAAAGGCTTTAATCTTACTAGTTCATAACTGCATTTGGAAATCTCCCTATTTCTTATCCCATATTTTAAATTGATGTAATTCCCTTGGCTTATACGAATGATGCACTGCCAAAATACGAACCGCCGTCTGAATTTAAAAAGCAGATTTTAACAAAATGTGTATTAAAATAGTGCTAATGATTTCCTGTGCTTAACACTGTTAGCGGTGACACGGGCATATTCGATGCTGGTTTGGTGGGCTTTCACTTTTCTTTTGTGAGGGTTTGGTTGTTTGTGGTTGTTTTTCAATGTCTACTTTAGATGGCAACATGCAACAGTACGTGTACAAACAAGAACCAGCCAGGAAGTGTCGCCGAAGGATGCGGTTTACCATAAGATACCCGGCTTTTGTGCCACGACTTGTCATACGGAGACGCTTCCAACGGGCAGTGGGAATGCCAACCGTTATACAGACTGTCAGAGTCAACCCATATCCAGCTGGTAACTTCTGTTTATTCAGTTTCTTTTACACAACCGCTTTCATCTGAGTAGTTTCTGAAACACAACACTCTGTTCCATTTTTTTTTTTTTTTTTTAAATATAGCACTGTGAAAATTTTTCAGATCTTGCTCGCTGTAGATCACACAAGCAAACGACAGCAGGCACACTGCGGCATCTCCCAACTCAAGTTTCCTTTTGTTTGCAGGAGTTTTGCATAAGGAAATCCGAGTGGCTTCCTACTGGAGAGGGCTCCCGAAAGTCATTCACTCAACTATATCCCTACCCAACTACAATAAGCCGGACGGCTACGATTACTACGCCTTCTCGTACAGTAAGTTAAAGCTAACACGAGTTACTACACATCTCAAAAGAGTAAGGGATGGGGAAGAAAGCAGCCCAGGAATCGTGGAGCTTTCAAAAGCACGAGGTTACTGCTTGTGATTCTGCAAGACTAACTGTAAGTGCTGCTACAAAGTCCTGAGAATTGAAATGCTGCCTGTAATCGAGAGATGCTTCTATTAAAAATCAACAGTTACAGGGCAACTAGCAGCAACAGGGAACGTTGACTCTGAGCAGCCAGCTGTGGAATGCACTGCCCTAAGGGTTCAGGCTTATAAAGTGACAAAAACCTGACATAGTAGATTAATGAGAGAATGAAATCCTTGGACCACTACACATTGATAGTTTTTTTCCACTGGCTTCCATGCAACTATGTTTCTAACAAAACAAAACTAAACGGGGAGGGACATGAACCATTTTGCTTCACAGGAAAAAGTTATTGATCATTCTAGGTTAAGTAGATTCTTTCACTCCTCAGGATTCTCTGGATTATTCAGAAACAAAAGCTCTAAGAGCTTGCCATATGCAAGTACAGGATACTAAAGCAAGTCTCTGCCAGCACAATCTAATCCCCAACCTTTACAGAGGCCAATCCACACTCGGGGACCACAGTTTCCACTTCCACAGACATTGAAAGATTGTTTTCTTTCTACTTTGTTTGATTTCCAAATTTCTTAAGACTATTTCTATATTCTAGCAGTCTAAGAGTATTCTTCCCTACTCCCTGTTCTTGGGACAGATTTACTTATTAGCAGTACTATAAAACTTAGCTAAACACAAAGCAGGACATGTGAAAAATAAAGCTGAGGACAAAAATTCATTGTTCTAGCCTCTCAACTCCACACATGCAGGCGGAATGAAAAATCTGTTATGCATGCCTAAATGAAATTAAAAGGAAGGCTTTAAGTTCCAGATTCTTTCCGTGTACTAAATGCAGTTTCTGGAATTTAATTCTGACATGTCTTCATTTCAGATCGGTACTACAGTTTGGATGTTGGCAAAAGAACAGCAAGACCTGTTACCGCTCTCACGGGAAAGACTGTATCCAAAGACTGGTACAACTGTCCTCCCAAGTGATGCACAGCAGAGGATTTTCAAAAAAAGATGCCGTTTGAATGTTGACATTTTGTCTAATTTTATTAATAAAGACACTGAGATGTGTGCACACAAATCTAAGTATAAAATGCTGCTTTAAGCTCTAGCTTCAGCACACTAAAGCAACCACAGGCAAACTGGCACTTTTGTATACGCAGCTGGAATTACAGATCCTTTAACTAATGTTTCCTCTGTTCAGGCCTCCTCTGCCTCCCATTGCATGAGTTACACCTGTGTTGGGAAAGAAAAAAAATGCATTAATAGGAATCCTGTTCGCTCTTTTCATCAACCATTGGTACAGCTGATGCTTCGCTGCGGAAGCAGCTCCTTAAGGGAAGGATGGAGCTGTACCTTTCCGGTAAAATTCAAGCTCCCCCCTCCTCCCCTCGTGATTTGGATACACTGCACTTCTGGCATTTGAGAGAACCCTGTGACTTGTGATCCTAGCTCAGGCCAGTGCCAAAGGAATGAGTGTGGCATTCCTACCATGTTGGAAATCAGTTAGTCCCTCCCTTTTGTTATTAAAGAAATGGTGATAGACTAGAAAGAAAAATCTGCCTCTTCACTTCTTTTTTTTTTTTACAATACCAGATATCTGTATTTCAATGCTACTATCATCAAGTCTTCTACAATGTTAAAATAATGCCAAACTGAATATATTTCAGCTAAGGAATTTTCTTATTACAGAAGTGGCAAACAACACTTTATTGTCATGGTTTAACTCTACTGCATTACAAAAAAAAAATAATCTTTTTTTGTTGTTTTTCTGAATCAGTGTAGGCCATAGTGAGGTAATGACTAGAACCCCTACATACTAAACGGGAAACTGACAGGTAATGTTAAAGCCAAAGATTTCTAAACTTATGTCCTAACATTGTTTTCTAAAATCTTTTCAAAATTTGCCAAGTTTAAGATCTGTCGCACTTCGCTTTCTCTCCATGGAGAAGAACCAAGTGCCACGTAAGAGGAACGTTTGCCTGTCTCAAAAACGCTCAGACTAACACACTAAAGCAAAACTACAGAGCTTTAGGGTGCCACACTGCAAGCCAGGGCAGGGATGCTGTGTTATTTCATGCCTTACGAGCAAACACAGGCATACAGAGCAGTACTTCACACACGGTCCCCATGGAAAGAACGTACTAAAAGCTGTTTTAAAGGCAAAAAAAGAGTCTGAATTTGAGCACCCACGAACACTTACCCCTCTGTCTGTTGAACTGACGACCACGAACACCAGTTCTTAACGTTGGTGGCTGAAGTCTGACGCGTCGGAAGGGCTTGGGCTGATTACTGCTCGTGTCTGTGAAGAAGTGGAAATGCAGGAAAGAATGTCTGTGGCTGGTACAGTTTCTCACTGTTAGCGTTTACGTGATTTGATACGCATTATGCTCTTGAATTTACTTTAAAATTGTGAAGGTGCATCCTTATTTCACTGATGTCTGATATAAATAAAAGCCTCAAAACAAGGGAGTTTGGGATTTCTTTCATCACCCACGCTAGGTGGTAAACTGGTAACTGAACAGGGATTTACTTACTGTTCTTGGACAGTCTAATTGAATGAAAGTGTTTTTAATCTGACATCAAACATAACAGTGGATGGAATCACCAAAGTATCCATAACTTTTGCACCTTGAAGCATTATTCTTAGCATGGCCTGCTCTAATTAGTGCAGTCCAAGTAAAAAGTGTTTGCCATTAAGTCTACAGGCATCAAAATGTGACCTTGCTCTAAGAGTTCTATCTTGTTTTGGGTATCTTGGCTAGCAGCAGTGCACGACGCTGGTCCAAAAAGTTCCTACCCTTAGTGAAATGGTATGAAATGACTGTTTCCAGCAACGAACCCATACCTGCAGATGAACTAGAAGGAGGATCTTGACTAGTCGAAGGAAGATCTGACTCATCAGATGCTTGAACAGATTCTTCTTCTTGCTGGCTATCAATTTCTAGGCCTGCTTCTGAAGTAATTCTAGAAGAGAAGGAGGGGGAGGAAAAACATCTAAGTGCATTCACATGGTTTCAGAAAGCTCAGGGAAAAAAGTAGCATCTTGGAGCAGAAAGATCCCCATGCAAATGTCTTTCCTCAGAAATTCTCACAGGTTTTATCCTGTTTTGCCATGTTCCCCCTGCCCCAATCATGAGCAATTTATCTGGCTTTTAGAAAATAATAATGTAATTTCCTTGATATTCAGCCCAACTCCAGATGCATATCCAACATATTAATTGTCTTTCAGAGAAGGCCATAGAAGCTATTTACTAACAGTAACTAAAAAACCTTTTAGATCTGGAATGTCTTTGCTCATAACACAAAATATAGCAATTATGATAAATATCAAAAATTGCACTTGCAAACTGAAAGACATTTGTCTATCAAATTCTTAAGAACTGCTAACTCCCCTCCCTTGTGCTACGTCTTTTGTACTTGCACTGCCTTAACTGGATGACTTCATTATCCACCCTTGCTCTGTAACGAGGAGTGGTGTGCTCTATTAACAAACAAGGACACTTCAGCCTTTATTCTACAAATCTACAAACCTTAGCTCTTCAAACTGGGGCCTTTACTAGCAGTATTTGACTACTGCAGAGCCCTCCGCATTCTTAAAAAATTCAGAAATTTGTGGGGTTTTTTGTCTTGGTGACTTTTATATTAGCTATGTTAAATCAGAAGGAGAAAATCAGAAGAAAACCTTCGGGTTTAGACAAAAAGGTCAGACTGTACTCCTTCACAAAACTACTAAATCCTGTTTGAGCTGCCCTTCCTACTAGCACAGGTTAAATTGAAAACGAATCACGGGCACGCTTGGATGAAAACAAATCTTTAAAACTAACATGACATCAAGTCTTGGAGAACCAAACAAGTCACAGTTTACCCTTCAGATTCTGCCTCTGCAAAAACTTCGTCCCCGTCATCACCCGCTCCAGCCTCTGTGGTGGTGGACAGATTCCCAGTAGATGTTGTAACCATGGGAACGGACTGCGAAGCATGCTCCGACGCGTCCGCCGAGGCGCTCTCAGTGAACACTGTCACTGTACAGAAAAGGCAGTTTAACAAACATCGAGTTAGTTTTTATTTCTGACAGAAAAAAAGCTTGCAGCCTTTCCTTCAGCCTGCAAATTTCTTGTCACTTACCTGGTGCTGCTACTTGTAACGGCGTGGTGGGAACGCTACGACCACCTGATTCTTCCTCGTGAGCAAGGAATAGCGGGGTTTCATACATTCCTAAACCTGCAACACAATGTTTTAGTGACAATTAAAACAGCCTGCTAAAAAACAGATTAACTGCTGACTTCCCTCTGTACACTCGATGAAATCCAGCGATTTGGTACTTAAACACGGAGATTTTTGTTATTTCGTTCTGCATCACTGTCAGAGCTAATTCTAATTCATTGAAAGGTAAAACTTTGATGAAAACGTTACTACTTGGTTTACTTTCGTCCTTTTCTTATGCCACTATTTTGCTGTGAGCTTTCTTGAAGAATACTGCTCCATGCTGAGGGGGATGCAGGGGAAAGGGACTGATTCAAGACAACAAAGACAAGACAGATGAATTGCTTAGCCATCTCTAAGCAGGTAAGGATATATCCCAAAGATTTCTTTCCATTTGCTGGTTTCCCTTATTGTTTTACTAGAGGAAGGCTACAATCAGCAGAAAAATTAAAATCAAAAGTCATTCCTTCAATACTTCACTTCTTAAATGAAGTTTCTTGTGCCCAGCAGGCAATTTTTTCTACGCAAAAGTTCAGCTTCTCTGGTTCACAAGCCTGCTGTTCCTACCCACAGAAGCATTCTGCTTTTTAAATCATGACAAGGAGAAATGTAGCAGCTTGAAGAAAACATTTTTTCACTTTCTGTTAGTCTGTCAGTCTCTTTCACAGAATCACAGAAGGGTTTGAGTTGGAAGGGACCTTAAAGATCATCCAGTTCCAACCCCCCTGCCATGGGCAGGGACACCTTGCTGACAATTATTTAAATACTCTGCTGACAATTATTCAAAAGTCACAGGTTTCCACACTTCAACAAGTACTCGAAGCAGAATTGCATTTAACTGATGGCATTATTTGTTTTTTGCTCTAACAATCACAGAAAAGAAAGTACACAAATGGTTTACCTCCTTGTGATGCAAGCTGACCAAGATCAGAGTGACTCGAGCTAGTTTGTGGCATATCTTCAGGGGGTCCAAATCGAAATCTAGGAACTCCAGCTACCTGGGGGGAACTATCAAAATAAAGATTTAAGGAATTCTGCAATTTTTCCGATGACTGGGGGGACGGGGACACAGACACACGACAACTTTCTGACCAAAACAAGAGAACAAATTATGCATGAGACAAAAGAAATTAATATTGACCATAAAAATAAGCTAAACTACTGCTAATTGAATAGCAATTAGTTTCACAAACTTCTTTGGACTGCATCTGAAATCAATAAAACACAGTCTTGACGAGAATATTCTTTACTTATTCATCCTATGAATTCTCACAATTTTAAGTGGATTGCTGAACATGTCCAGAAGTGTCCTGAATCCAAAAACAGAGACAACTTTTCCTGCTTTTATTGGTAATATTAATGGGGAGAGGTTGACGGGGCGGGAGGGGGAATTAAATCAAATAGAATAGAAATTAAATAGAATAATCCATTTTTTTGCTTAAGCTCTTTGTAAGTCAGTAAGTTACAATACATTGGAGATGATCTGCCTCTAATTTGCTGATAAGTTTGATGACAGACAATTCAAACAATGGTTACTTATTGGTAGATGCTGTCATCTATCATAGTACTAAGCACGTTTTAACACGTTACTGCAACCACAAATTCATTTAACTTGAATTTATTTTCATTCCACTGAAAAACTGAAAGAAATAAATGCCTTTTTTTTTTCCCCTTTACATCTACTTACTGAATAGCTTCTGCAAATCCATCTGTACGATGTGGAACTACAAGAGTTGGTGTGCTTGGAACTGTTCTGTCCTCATCATCAAAGAAGTGTTGCTGCTGGGAAAAAAAGAGACTAATAGGAGAACCTATAATGTATGTCCAATTTCTACCAAGCCAAGTTAAAGGTTGGTCCACATAGTCCAGCAAAACAAAGACAGATTTAGTTCTAACAAAATTCTTGTCTCATTTCAGACATCTAAATCTGAGCTAGTTATACAGGTCACCCCTACAGGTCATAAAAAACCCAAAACAAAACTAAACCTCATACACTTGCAGGACATCCATCTTTCAAAGGATTTTTAGACATCTATTTCATGAGATCATCCTACCACCAAAGTGCCCCATCTCTCTGTTGCCTACGAAGGAACCTTAGGGTGACTCATTCACAGACAGACAGGAATCATCTGTCTCACTAGGGACTGCTGTAAGGTACCTAGCATATGGATTTTTCACAACGTGAATCAAATAATCTGTTCCCTATAGACTTGTGTCCTTTGCTCCTGCATTGCCTACAAAGCCAGAAACGTCAGCTCCCTCTTCCCTCACCCTCCATGAGGCATTCTCTTCATCTCCCTGTCTTCCTCCCATTTCTTTCAAACCTTTCTCTCCAAAGTACCCGTAAGGTCCCTCACATGTGCTCAGTTACTGTTCAGGCAAAAAGCAGGAGGTACTGAGCCAGTTCCAAGTAAAAATTGAATGTGCAAGCCAAGCAGAATTACAAATCTCAGCTGATGCCTTTGCTCTCAGAAAAGATATGTTTTTAGTCAGTCAGTCTCTCTCTCCTCCCTCACTGAACTTGCATTCCTTCTGTCAAATACAGCTGAAGTTGAACAAAGGGTTCAGAATTAGCTGGAGGAGACAGAGAGAGAGCAGAAATTAGCCTTGTTCCTTTAGGATGAGGCTTTAAAACATTTTTTTTTCCAGTAACATATCACCTTTAAAAACACTGATTCTAAACCCAAGTAACTCAAACTGCCTTAGACAAAACCACGTCAACCTCTTTTGAGCACCTTTAGCTCCCTGGGAGTGTTCTATTTGCCTTCTATTAATACAGCAATTAACAGAAGTAAGATATTTTCTGCAAGAGTACAGAAACCATCCCAGCCCTGAAGTCAGCAGCTAGGCTTCTGTAAAAAACTAAACAAAACCCAGGAGTTAAGAATGTCCCCTCAAATGCAGGTTTTTGGTAGTAGACTTTCATATACTCACCATCCCACCTATACCAGGCGTTAGCTGAAGTCCACGTCCCACTGACTGTCTTCGAGTCATCTGGATTCTCTTTATAGTAAAGAAAAAAGGAAGTAGTGTGAATGCTTTCCGAGAATTCTAACAACATACAATGGATCAATCAGAACTAAGGATAGTGGGTAAATGAGTAAGTGGAACAACTATACGTCAGTGTGTAACACTGCTCAGTACAGCATCATATCTTCGTAAAGAACAAACCATGGCAGCAGCTACCCCACGTCTTGTATCTGCTGCCTGGGCTAACCATGAAAGAGAATCATATAGGTTGAAATTCTGGGTGAGTGAGTGTAGTATTTTATTCAACTTTCTACTGAGGATAGAAAACTTGAACTCAGAAATATTGTGGCTGAGTCTCACATCAAGCTAATGGTAAAGGATAATTTCAGTCAGGAGATTTTTGCAAAATTCATGTTGCGATGTTTTCGTCTACAAAATCTATAGGTCTACATCAAAGCGTAATCACGGGTCGGGCAGTGACTAATAAAAACCCCTGCCAGTCTGAGTCACGACCTGTTCAAGAACAGCTTTTGCAGTGGAAATATCAGCAGTCACTGACTGAAACACCACCAGTGTAACAATTCCAAGATACAAATCCATCATGAGTGCCTTACTGCTTTTTATGTCCCCCATCCAGCCATAATCTGCAGGATTACCCATATTAAGCCAGTTTGCTCAGCTACCAGGATGCCAAACAGAGTCAGCTATTTTTACAGCAGGCAGAGGACTTTGGTTTTATTTAGAAGAAACCACACAGTCATTTTTTAAAAGTCTTCTGAACCACTAGAGATCGTTTATACCTGTACTGGGGGACCCAGCTCTTGAGGAGGAGCATGAATAGTCAGTCGTGGGGGCAGCGGATGCGGCGGTCTGCGCGGTGACTGCGGGGGCCGAGGGGCTTGTCTCTCCGAGGCAGATGATGGCTGCTGTTCTCTGGAACTTTCGTGAGGAAAAGTGGATTCTGCAGCACTTGTACTCCCTTCTCCTAAAACACACCGAAGTACAGGAGTAAACTGATGTCCTCCAAACTGAGGTGAAAACATGAAGGCAAGTCTTCAAACTCTGCTACCACATCAACACAGACATTTTTACCCTTGCAAGAGTGGAGACAGCTTGGTACTATTTTTAAAAAAATCACTTAAAAGAAGACTTGTGCCAGCTACGTTAACATCAGCACCAAAAAACCTATTAATTATTCTAGTGTTGATTTAGAGAGATTAATCCACTGAGCTATTGTCCTGGTTTCAGCTGGGACAGAGTTAGTTTTACTTTTTAGCAGCTAGAAGAGCTCTGTGTTTTGGATTTAGTGTGGGATTTGTTATGAGAAGAATGTTGATAGTGCACTGATGTTTACAACTGGTGCTGACATATCAAGGACCTTTCAGCTTCCCATGTTTGGCCAGTGTGCAGGAGCAACACAGGCTGAGGGGGGGGACAGGGG